TTATCTGTTAGGGCGTGCTGACTCAGACAATACTTTAAATTCTCTCTCTCTCCCTCTCTCTCTGTCTTTCTTAGCTTTCCCCAGTAACACAGCCTCTACTCCTCCCAAAAAGACTGCTTTTAATGATGGTCTACCCAGTACTGCGTCAAGTTCATCAGCAAAACTTTCTGAGGGAGTTGATGGTAAGTATATCATTAAGAATATTAATGCGTTGTACAACAATATTTATGTGTACATGTACATGTACATAGGTGCAAATGTACGTGCATTTATGCGGATTTATTGAATGATGTGTGTGTGTATGATGTAATGTTTAATATTTTATTTGATATAAAATGGTTTCTGATAAGTTTATTTAATTGGAATTAAGAGCCCCTACTAGTTTCACTGTTACATGCATTAGCTAGTTTCACTGTACATCATTTAGCGTATTTTCCTCTACTAGTACTAATTGCCTGTGTCCTGTTGACATGGGAGTGTTTAGTAATTAATTATGTTACTTTAATTATGATTTCCTTCTCTTACATTCCTCTCTCCCTCTCACTCTCTCTCCCTCTCTCTCTCTCTTCCTCTCTCTCTCTCTCTCCCTCACTCTCTCTCCCTCTCTCTCTCTCTCTCTCTCTCTCTCTCTCCTCTCTCTCTCTCTCTCTCTCTCTCTCTCTCTCTCTATTAGAATTATTCTCTATGATAGCTCGTCTCAGTGCTGATACGTTACAAGACCAGTCCATTATTGAAGACATGTCCCCTCAAGCGGCCTCCTCACCAAAAGACCCCAAGAAAGGAAAGTGGATTGCCCCTAGAGCGTCCCCTAAATTCTCTCGTGTGAAAAGTGGAACCTCCATCCCTGAGAGACGGTTGGGACTCACCCAATCTGTTCCTCCTCGCTCCGTCTCCCCTCCAGTCTCCATGATGAACTCGCTCCCTGTCCCTCACTATCCTCCTCCTCCTAAATCAGATCCGCCTAACGCTAGCCTCTATGGTGACTCTTATACTTACTCATCTCCTCCGAAGCATATACATCAACGTTCAGCCGACGCCATGTCTGGGATCAGTATCGGATCAGGATCAAGTGTTGATTCAATCACGCACGAGTTCTCTGCTGATAGGAGAGCATTTGTGCACAATAACTTGAGAGAGTGGGTCAATAATTCGACCACTAACCCGCCACAGTACTTCCCCACTGCTCTTGGTAGTCAGGACACACTCGATAGGACGGACGGACGGACGCTGGTTGGCGGTCGTACCAGTCTACCTAATAGCCGTGGTTCCAGTCTCACTCGGGGCCACGCCCCACTAGCAAAATCTTACTCCGCCCGCCCTCTTTACCAGACTGAGTTGAGTGGTTCCTTTCAACGTCACAACGGAGGAAACTCACAGTCTTCTGGTCGACTAGGCCCTGGTAGTACTGTTGGGTCTGATAGACAGTTTTCAGATACGGAATCTATGGCTTCGTCTAGTTGTCATAGCAACGCCTCGGGGAAGAGAGTGCCGCTCTCTCCAACGACTCACGTATTAGTAGTAGAGGATCAGCAGCACAGTGAGACTTTTGTCTGAGAGATGACAAAAATATACATAATCATGTATTATTATTATTAATTATTATTATTATTATTATTAATTATTATTATTATTATTATTAATTATTATTATTATTACTAATTATTATTATTATTATTATTATCATTATTATTATTATTATTATTATTATTATTATTAATTACTAGTTGATTACACAGAAGCATCAGTAATTTAATTTTTCTTATGATCATTCTCAGTCTAATTTTCTTTCTAGCAGGCACAACTACACACACACACACATAATTTAAAACGATCATTACTAAACGATTAATTTTATGAATTATCCGTCGTCATCATTTTATACACAATCTCTCTCTCTCAATGATTTTTGTCATTTTTATCCAATCCTGTCAAATCTGTATTTTGTATGATAATGTTTAAAATTATTATTAATAATAAGAAAATTCAACGATAATAAAGTTATTTTAAGGAGCATTAAGTATATTCATAGCTGCCAACTGAACTTGTATTTCAAACCGGTACAGCTGATTCTATTGCTGTCTTTCTTTTGTATTTTCAATGAAGGAGGCAGGGAGAAATACAAATTAGCAATCAATATGGCTACAGACTCGGTCGAGGTGACATGTAACGTAAGTAAAACATCTCATGAAGTTTGAGCTTCCTTTAAACTGGTCTTTATGATAAACCAGGTCGAGAAGGAGAGAGAGTTATCCATTACTGCTTGGAAGAGCGGCAGTGTTCCTGACTTATCCTTACCTAAACCATTAAATCCACTGTAAGAGATATAGATATGTTTATTATGTTGTTCTACATTCTCTCTCCTTCTCTCTTTAGACTACCCAGCACTGATCGCAGAAACGTTATCGTTACCAGTGAGTTTTCATCTATTAGTGTCACTCCTCATTTCGGTACAATTGTCGGTACAGTACTCAGTGCTGATGTGTGTGCCAGGTAAGGAAAACACAATACAAAAAGAAAATAGAAACCTTTATTAGCTGTATATGTACGGACAGTTATTGAGCATCAATTGAGCATGTAGTTTAGGTAGGAAATGTATTTTCTGATACATATACGTGCTCTTATGTTGCATGTCAATTTTGAGTTGATTTCGATCAAGTTTCAAATTTTTTAAGTTGCTCCAAAATTTTGTCAAAAATAAAAAGATGAAAAGTCTTGGTTTTAATAATTTTTTCTGATACATATACATGTTCTTATGTTGTATATTAATTTTGAACTGATTCCGATCAAGTTTGAATTTTTTATAAATTTTTAAAGTTGTTTAAAAATTGTACCCTAGACCAGAAGGCTATAGCACAGGGTATTTTGTTGAAAACAGCTATAAATTAAAATTAGATTATTTCTTCCTCTCTCTCTCTCTTCCTCTTAGATATTACAAGCAGAGAGGATATAATACACTTTATGTTTCTGGTATTAGCGAGTTTGGGCCTGAAGTTGAGCTAAAGGCCTTCAAAAAAGAGGCTACTCTGCAAGAATTCTGCGATAAAAGTCTTGAGATTCATCGCAAGCTTTACAAATGGTTTCACATTGACTTTGATGTCTTTGGTCGTACAAATACAGAAAGGCACACAAGGTAGAAGAGTAGAGAAGAGAGAAGCTGTCATCATAATACTGAACATTCAGTTATTTTATCAATAAGGGTACAATTAATATACATTAATTTTTGGTTTACTTTTGCTTTAATTTATATGCCTTTACCAAGCTGTTACTCAATTCTTATTTTAATTGAAACTCCTGCTTTATTTCTCCTCACAATACAGAATGACTCAAGGCATATTCCATGATCTTGTTAAGAGCGGACTAGTCTATGAAGAGCATTCAATGGAGCAGCTGCACTGTCACGCCTGTAACAAGTAAGCGCCTAGTCACAATGTGAATATGTCTAATATGGAGTCATTAAGGGTTTTAGCAGACGCTATTGTGAGAGGAACATGTTCCAAGTGTTCGTATGCGGTGAGAGGGATAGAGGGGTGTGTCCTCTTATTGTATTATATAGAAAGCACACGGTGATCAGTGTGAGGGGTGTGGTCTATTCCTTACAGCTGCAGTTGAATTGAAGGTCTCTTCATTTGATTTTGTAACAGTTCTCAATTTTTGTCTTTTTATTTCTCCCCCCCCCCTCTCTCTCACTCTCTCTCTCTCTCAGTTCCCAAGGTGCAAGCATTGTTCTGATCCTCCTAGTAGGGAGACATCCTCCCATCTTCTACTGAACTTATCCAAAGTGCATATTTTAATTATAAACTTTTAGTATCATCTAGCACTCATCCACCACTTTTAATATTATTATAATAATTACATGATCAATAGTTGCAAGAACCTCTTCATGAGTGGTTCAAGAAAGCTTCAGGCAATCGTAAGAATTTTAAATTTCGTCCCAATGATATAACTTCTCTCCTTCCCCTTTCTCTCCCCCCTCTCTCTCTCTTTCTCAATCCTACTTGTCTTCCTTCCCTTTGTTATCAAGAAGACTGGTCCAGCAGAGCCCAGCTGCTAGCTCAGTCTTATATACAGGAGGGTCTTAAGGATACTCCAATCACTAGGGATCTATCATGGGGCGTACCAGTACCTTATGATGGATTTAACAATAAAGTTTTTTACTCAGTTCTTGATGAACCTTTTGGGTAAGAGCTGCATGAACATGATGTGTCAATCCATACAAATATATTGTATGATTTTTGTAGGTACATGTCAGTGACAGCAGGTTATACTGACCAGTGGGAGAAATGGTGGAAAAATCCTAAAGAAGTGAGTTAAATGTGTATACTGTATGCATGTACAAACTACAGCTACATTGTAGCTTTTATTCACTGAAGTACCTTTGTAGATTGAATGGGAATTAAGATATCATATTAGTATTATTATTATGTCACAATTAAGTCAGAGTTTTAAATGTTAAGCGACCCTTTTTGATGTACTTTACAATCGACTATACTCAGTCATATTCACATTTTGTCATTTTGATGGAGAGCAACAGTATCATTTGTTTTGGCGTGTCTGTACTCTAGGTCCAGCTGCATCAGTTTATAAGTAAAGAGAAGATAGTCCAGCACTCAATATTGTTACCAGCGACTCTCATCGGGTCTGGAACAGATTATACACTACCAACAATTCTATCAACAACTGGTAATGGAGTGAGGGGAGGGAGGGATAGTGAGAAAAGTAGCTAAAGGAGACTAGATGAAACTGAATGATAGACCTTCTTAATGTAGAAGTATGGTACTCATGTAAAAGGAGATCTCAATACTTATACATTGTATTGTATCAGCTTTAATTGTCCAGGAAGAAAATGTTCTTATCTATTCTTTTCAATTTTAGAGCCAGTGGGTTATGAAGAAGGCACTTTTTCACTCAAAAAAGGTTTTGGAGTATTTGGAGCTGACATCATGACTACCGGAGTACCAGCAGACCTTTACCGGTTCTATCTTATTAGTATTCGTCCCGAGACTGAGTACTCTAGCTTCAACTGGTCAGACTTTGCTCTCACAGTCAATACTCAACTAATTAATAACATTGGGAACTTTGTGAACAGGTAAATAGCGTACATTTAGTCATTTTTATTATTAGTAAAGTTAAATTAATGTGGTACAATTATATTATTATCATCATTATTTATTACTATTTTAATGCATTTTTCATGCGAATTTCTGTAATTTAGAAGTGGATATAACTGCATGGAAATGAATTGTCATTATTTCTTTTATCTAGAACTCTTGTTTTTATTGAGGATAATTATAAATCGATAGTACCCGAGCTTCATCGAACTGAAGGAGTAGTTGAGTATGATATCCAGTTATTTGCAGATCTCAATGGCCGTTTGAAGAGCTACACTGCATCCATGGAGAGATCAGAATTTAGAAATGGACTGAAGCATGTGGTGGGTGTGTCAAAAATTGGCAGCGACTACATTAATAAAGAACAACCATGGAGACTAATGATGAATGATAGGTATATACATTATGCTTCTCTCCCTCTCTCTCTCTCTCTCATGGTTTATTGTTAATGTCATATTGTTATAGAAGTAGAGCTGGTACTGTGATGAACATCAGTGTTAATATAGTCTATCTTATATCAGTTCTTATACATCCTTTTACTCCAGCCATCAGCAAAGACATACTAAACCAACTAAAAGTAATAACTCACACACACACACACACACACACACACACACACACACACACACACACACACACACACACACACACACACACACACACACACACACACACACACACACACACACACACACACACACACACACACACACACACACACACACACACACACTTACATGAAAGTTTGTACAAGCATATGCATGTTCTTATGTTGACTTTGAGCTAATTCCGATCAAAATTGGATTTATAAAGTTGCTCAAAAATCGGGCCAAAGTCTCTGTACTATAGTACATGGTCTCGAGCCAAATTTTGCCAAAAATGACTAGGAGAGAATTCTTCATTTTTATGACTTTTCCTGATACATATACATGTTCTTAAGTTGCATAGAAAGTTTGAGCTGATTCCAATCAAAATTAGATTTTTTACGAATTTTTAAAGTTGCTCAAAAATCGGGCCAAAGTCCCTGTACTATAATACATGGTCTCGAGCCAAATTTTGCCAAAAATGACTAGGAGAGAATTCTTCATTTTTATGACTTTTCCTGATACATATACATGTTCTTAAGTTGCATAGAAAGTTTGAGCTGATTCCAATCAAAATTAGATTTTTTACGAATTTTTAAAGTTGCTCAAAAATCGGGCCAAAGTCCCTGTACTATAATACATGGTCTCGAGCCAAATTTTGCCAAAAATGACTAGGAGAGAATTCTTCATTTTTATGACTTTTCCTGATACATATACATGTTCTTAAGTTGCATAGAAAGTTTGAGCTGATTCCGATCAAAATTGGATTTTTTACGAATTTTTAAAGTTGCTCAAAAATCGGGCCAAAGTCCCTGTACTGTATGTAGTACATGGTCTCAGGCCAAATTTCGCAAAAATTGAAAAGAAGAGAATCCTTAATTTTTATAATTTTTCTAAAGCATATACATATTTTTATGTTGCATAGAAAGTTTGAGCTGATTCCAATCAAAATTGAATTTTTTATAAATTTTTAAAGTTGCTTTTTTAACAAACTTCCTATACTCAATTTCTTTCCATAATTATAATTAGGTGCCATCAAACAATATTGCTATCCCTGACTTCTTTGCTCCTTTCATTAAACCTGGCCATGTTATTGGAGAAGTAATTATTGCTAAATTCACATCATCATCATGTATATTTCTTATAGCCACGGTCTCTATTTATGAGGCTTGATGATTCCATGGTTTCAATGCTGAAGGACAAACACAGCGGAAAATATTTCTTTTGATGTACTTTAACCTCTATGGGGTATATATTATACAATAAATATATATGTGATTGTGTGGAATAATAGGATACTACTGCTGTAGTATCTATGGTCTGTGTCTTGACAATAATTTTCTATCATAATAATAATGATAATAATAATTATTATTTTTTATACAAGAAATTAACTGAAGTTCATTTTCTTGGTTGAAGTATTGTGTGCATGCATACGTAGTATTATTATAGTTCTGATTATTAATGAACGTGTCTTTAAATCCACGCTGGACAGGTCACATGACAAACACTTTCTTAATGCTGCTGTACTGAAAGCTCTCGCTGGTTCTTGGACACTTTATCATGCCACCATTGGACTCTGACATTCTTAATAACGCCTAAGAAGAGGAAAAGACAAAACAAAAGTAGAAAGAGGAGAAAAAGAAAGAGATAAAAAGGAAGAAGTAAAAATGTTAAGATGTATACATACAGAGTTCATATTACCTGTTCCCCATACACATATCCATTGGGTAGCATCATTGGTGGATTGTGTTCATTCATTGGTTCACCTGATATGTTGCATATGAGGTATGATTGTGAGCTGTGAGAGTATGGCAGGACTGATGCCAGGTCATTGAACAACTCTGAACAAACCGGGCACTGTATGTTATGCTCGCCTTGCTTATAACACTGACTGTAGGGTGATTATATTAAGGAATATATAATCATTATAACTTATATGCTATGACAAAGCTCCATTAAATATAAGTATCTACATCATCATGCACTTATCAGCAAAGTGGCTGCTTTAGCTCATTTTAATAGCCTTGCACTCTCTCTTAAATTGCTTTGATTCAAAGCTCCACTCATTCTATTTTCTCTACAGTGTGTAATGACAGTATAGGACACTATGACAGTGTTTAAGGAAGGATACGGAGTCTTTAGTGCAGAGAGTCCAGCCTCAAGTGCAGTGCATAAGATAGAGTGAGAGTGTAACTGATACAGTGAGAGGTTCTCTAATCTAAACTGAGCTATGAGATCATCCCAACGCTGCAATGAGAACAAACGCTACAAAAAAGAATACAATTTAATGTTTCTAAGTTACTATTATTATTATACCCATCTCTTATACGTGTACTTCTGATTGGGTTACCTTGTACTTCTTGCATGGAGTCTGAGGAGAGAAGGCAAGTAGCCCCATAACTGATTTTAGGTCTGACATCATTTCATCTCCTCCAGTAGATAGATGCTTACGGGCATACCTTTGGAGAAAAATTAATCATCTTTTTCTCCGACCATAATTACTCTCTTCTTACTTGACAGCCTCTAGCCTCTTCTCTTGTCTAACGAGTTCAGTGAAGTCTTGGAGTCTCACGCGATATTCTAGAGTACTCTTTAGACGTCTTAATTTCGAGCGGTTCTCGTGACACCAGGCAAGGCACGGGGCAGTGTTATGGGAACGGAGTCCCTCCTCCACGTGCTGACAAACCTGGAAAACCCTCACGTCGACAAGGTGCTAAAAGAGAAAACATGCAAAGTATAACGGATACAAAAATTGACTGGGTCATCCATCATAAATTTATCCCCTACCTCAATATCACAGGACTGTGCTAGGAGCATAGCAGAGGTGTAGTGTCCCTCTCTTAAGAAATGGTCTACTAGCGTCCTGTTGCATCTTGTCTTCTTCCAAGCTGTCTGTAGTCCTTCAGGCTGGTCACCTGAAGCATAGGATTTGAGATGATCCAATCTGACCTTACACAAATCAGAGCTTTCTTTTTCTTCTTCAATGCACTCGTCACACTAGTGAAAAGGGAAATATATGCATATTTAAAAGAAAATAAAACTAGTAAAAAAGAAAAAGAAATTATCAAGTTTTAAGTGAAATTATCACCCACTAATTCGAAGTGTTAAAATGGGAGTGGCTTGGCTAACCTTTTTCTTGAATGACTGTAGTTTTTGTGTCAAATTATCAATAGCAAACAAGACTTGAGTAGTAGGAGTACCACTGCTAGCGCTGAGAGAGGAGGTGAGGTCACTCACTGAGCCACTGACACTGATAATATCTCTATCAATCACTTTCTGGACAGTACGAAACTTCTTATTGAGCAGTTCATACGGGACCTAGAGAGAAAGAGAGGGAAAGAAAAGAAAGGGTAGTAGTTTTAGAGTATATTAAGAGCTGAATAAACTCACTTTGAGCGTCGGGTGCTCCAGTGTAGTCACTTCATCTCTGAATGAAGTGGAAGACATATTTAGATTTATGGGCGTGGTATTAAACAACCAAACCACGCCTTTTTTAATCACAGCAAAATGGCTGCAGAATGGGAGCTGGTTTATTGGCCTGGTATGGCTGGAAGAGGAGAGTTTGTCCGCCTAATGTTTGAAGAGGCAGGAGTAACTTATGAAGATGTTGGTGAGACCCAAGGAGTGCAGGCTGTTCTTGAGTATATCCAGGGGAAAAACCAGGAAGGAGGAGGAATCCCTATATATGCTGTCCCAGTAATAATCAAGGATCAATTTAGAATGTGTCAAATGCCAGCAATACTCCAGTACTTGGGAAAGAAGTATAGCATGGCTCCGGATAGTCTTGAAGAAGATGCAAGAGCAATGCAAGTAAGCAAGCAAGCTCAAAATGCATGAATATTAATCTTTTTTAATGCAGACCTAAGCCTGTTGCAGAACTTGAAATAAAGTTAGAGCCAAATCTGTAGCTTTCTCTTGAGAAAACTCATAAAAAGTTTTCATACTGGTCGATGCATGGTTGGTTTGGCAAGGATTGGCTAATTGCACTAATCTTTTAAAAAAATAGTGTCTATAGTAATACCATGTGAAGGATTCATTCTATCAGCCAGATACTACTGATACTAATCATATTGTTTTATTGTTTAGATCACTCTTGGTGTTTCTGATTTCATTGAAGAGGGTCACAACGCCTTTCATCCTTACGAGAGATCAGGTACTTACGATTCTCAGAAAGAAATGGCAGCTGATTTTATTAAGAGGTTCTTGGAGAAACGATTTCTAAAGTAAGTGATAGCGAAAAATTATCATCATCATCATCATTATTATTGTGCTTAAATCAGACACTTGCTCTATTTGGAGAACTGTCTCAAGTACAACAATGATGGCAAAGGTTTCTTTGTTGGTGATAAGGTATTTCTATTCATTAACATTATGTATGGTGGGTGTGGGGCAGTGATTGATTGTGGGTACATTGAAAGATTAATCATGTCTCTCTTTACCTTCATAAGACTACGCAAGCCTTAATGGATTATTACTTAGTTTTATATAGATGCATTTATACAATGTACATACTTTCATTTAGTACTTCTCTTTTCAGTTGTCTTATGCTGACATTGCTGTTTTCAATGGACTGAGAGTCAGTGACTCACAGTTTCCTGCAGAGTATGCAGCTGCTGATATCCCGCTCCTTAAAGCATTCAGGGATAGGATTGCCTCTAGACCAAAGATAGCCGAATATCTTAAATCAGACAGGGTCAAACCGTTCTGTGGGAATTCAATGATGTAGGAGGATGATAGCATTTCTTATTGGGGATAGACTTAGTTTTTAATGATCAATTTTGAATTGTTATTTTATTTTTTTATATAAAAACATGTTGACTTATTTCACGCATTATCTTCTCCGGTAGGCGGGAACATTTTGCTTGCGGCGGAATTCGGAAGAGGCCCAAAGAGGGAAGCAGTAGATTTCAAGAAAGGGAATAATATGCTGCTATTCCTTTCGACTACTCTTCTGCACAGGACCCTCTATGATACCCGATGGAGTAACATAACGAGTAATGGCCACAGTTCCGATGATAATGCTCTCATAGTTCGTATATTTGCCTGTTGCATGAGCAGTCTCTCCATATTTGGGGCTCTCCTTATCATGCTCTCGTATCTCTGCTTTAAAAACATCAGGACAAAAGCAAGAGAGGTCCTATTCCATCTCTCCGTGGCTGACTTTGGCGTCGGCTCTACAAACCTAATAGGTGCCATTGTTAACTATGATGATCTCATTGATAAGTGTAGAAATCAATCCTCATCTGTTCTCTTCTCGTGCCCCACTTACGTAAGCCTTTGTAAGACCCAGGCCTTCTTTGCACAGTTTTTCACAGTCTCCTCGATTCTTTGGACTCTCCTCCTAGCTCTCTACGTGTACACTCTTGTTCTCGATAGCAGTCGAAAGCTTTCACTTTGGATCGTTAGATTTGGCTATTTAGTCTGCTGGGGTATGCCTCTTGGTCTTTCAATTTGGTTCGTTCTGACAAGGAAACTAGGGAAGACAAAGATTGGTGGAGCTGGTTGGTGCTCACTGAGGGCAGAGAATAAAGAAGGGAATGTGAATCACTTTGCCGTTTTCTTTGGCAATGATATATGGGTAATGTCGACGTTCGTTCTCATATTGGTCCTCTACACAACTCTACATTGTCACTTGAAGGACAGAGTGAGTCTTTGTTGTTGTTATAATTGTGTACAAGTGTTTAGTAAGCAAACAATATAATCTCATCGTGATTCGATACAAGTAATGTGTACAAAACACTGGTACTTGTCATTTTGTAATGAAAATAATAGTACTTCAATTGAATGTTGAAAGTGATTGGCAACACATTAGCTCTTTTAATGCTAACTTTGTCTGTCTGTCTGTCTTATATTAACTTGACCTTTTCTTTCTTTCTTTCTCTTCCCCTCCTCTCTCCCTCTCTAGATGAAAGAGATGAAAAAGTACAATTCGGACACTTTTAGTCAGCACTCTGACGCAAAGTTCCTAGCTATACCATTTTTCTTTCTCCTCCTTCATGCTGGAAGTATTGTTGTATCTTTTTTGTTTGTGTATACTAAAGCCTCTGAGAATATGAGCCATACACTTCAACATATAGTGCTGTACTGGATGGTAAGTTAATAATAATAATACTAATAATGTCTATTATTTGATTTTAATCAGAAAATACACAGCATTATCCAGATCCTATAGCCTTAATTAAATGGTTCTGGTTTTATTTTGCTTTTATTGTGGAGTTTATAATAAAAACTTGTGGGTTGTACCACAAAAATGTATCAATGTAATCAGAAATGAATATTTCTAATACTTATTGTGTACATATTTATGAGTGACTATTAATTTTGATCTGTTTCTCTGTTATACTGTTAGTTTATTGGTGATTCAAGTGAAGGACTGGTGAATGGTGTCATATTTTGTTTGCTGACTCCACGGATACGTCAGAAGCTATTATCCCTCTGCTGCTGCTGCTCTTGTTACAAATTCAAAAACTCTAATCCTAGTTCCATAGTTCGCTTCCCACGAGAGACAATGGAGCAGAGAAGGTTGCTGGAGAACCCTGACTCTAATGCCTCTCCTAAGTACAGTGTCAATAGGAACATGTCTTCATCTGCTTCATCCATTACATCTAGTAGTGACTCTGAATACTGAGTTCCTCTTTCTTTTGTGTATTATAAAATTTGCTTCAACCCACGCAGATAATTAATCTCATGTTATTAATGATTAACCAAATAGGCGTGGTCTTATATAAAATAGGCGTGGTTAAGTGAGTAGTAAAATCCGGGAGTGTACGGAGATGTGACAGGCTGTCCGGCAAAATGAAGAGGTCTGCAATGCAGCTCACTTGTAAATACTATTCCTTTCATAAAACAGCTCTTTAATTCTATCATTTCTCTCTCATAGTGATCACCTTGATCCTACTCATCATCCTGTTTATGGCAGTATTCTATTATTCTGATTCCCTCTCTTTATTACGCAAGAGGCAACAGTACATTATGGATGAGTCTACAACCCCTTCATTGCATAGGACTGTTGGTACTGAAGAAGTAATAAACGTGACCATTCCTACTACCAAACTACAAGAGTTGACTGATTCCGCCATGTTTAAAGATCAAGGGATCAAGCTGAAGTGGATATCGATGAGAATTAACATGTAAGGCAGCATTTTGTCATTAGCTATCTTGTATCTTGTTTACTACACTAGTGTGATAGAGTGGGCTAATGATTGTGTTCACTAATAAATGCATGCTATGATTGACTGTTTATGTTCTAGTAGAGTGGACAATTGTGGGTCCACACAATGCACTATCATATATTGTTGGGCGGAGCAAAAAACTTAAAGCAATAACTTAATTGTATTTACTAGTACTTTATTAATAGTACTAAAATAGGATAAGTTGTTACATTTTTATTTTATAGTGATTATTATATCACATTTTATTTCAGGTTGGATCCTTCGTGGGATGAAGCAAGACTCAAGCTCTTTTCAAAGTCCCCGGAGCTTTTCTCGCGTCCCAAGAGGATCCTCCTCTTCCCTGGTCTCCTTTCAGAGTACTCTGGCTATGATTTTGCAGCTGGCGCTTTTAAAGGAGGATACCTAGGAGAACTAACCCAATGGAGTGACCTCATTGCTGTAAGTATAGGACTTTTTATAGCGTACACCTCCATTTAACGGACAGCACCTAGTGTACCAATTACATTCCTTACTGTATAAAATAACCTCCACATAAAGGACACCTCTGTATAACAGACACTTTCTTGTACCAAAAAGTGTCCATTATATAGAGGTTATACTGTATTAGTAAAGCTAATCTCATATTGAGACCAATTCATTATTGCTAGCTCTGTCTAATGGTATATTTTCTGTTCCTTTACTCTCTTTTATAGTCACTTCATCTTCTTGGACATGAGCTGCACATAGCAGCAACTGTAGGCGTATTAAAGAAAAACGAGCCACACAGTGAGAGAACACTAAGACAGAGAGAGAGTGTGTTATAGTTTTTTTTATGTCTCTAGAGATATTGTATGATCTCCTTTTCACTGATTATATGGGTATGCTGGGCATTAGGGACAATGGGCTGTTGGGGAGGTACAAGTGTAGGATTAGAGTTTTGGATTCATTTGGAACGGAACCAATTTGTGAGTTAGTTTAATCAACACTTGTGTACACATGGTGTAGCATATACAGAACATCCAGGAATATCTTAGAAATGGTTTTTTGTATGTTCATGGTGATCTTTTTGTTTTTTTTTTATTATTGCGTGGTTCTTTTTAAAAGCATTTTTCTTTTCTCATTTTCATCATATATAGTTGGCTTTAGAACTGATAAGTTTCGTGCTGATCATGATGGTGATTGGTTCAGTGCCTGGAACTTTGAGGTATGGCACTCTTGCTATACTAAAGATGATGTACATGTATGTATTGTGTGTCTATTTGTGTTATTAATATTTAGAGTTTGCAGCAAATGTGGACCCTTTACCCTCATACTCCTGACAATTCTTTCCTTGGCTTTGCTATGCAGCTGCCCAAGGAAACTCCGCCTCGCTCTAAGAGAAAATTCCAATCAGTCTTGTATGGGAAATCAGGTTTGGATAAGTGATAGTTCTCTTTCTCCACCACCTATGTCTCTCTCCTCCTCCTCCTCTCTCTCTTATTCTTGTATTTTTGTATCTTTTGGTTATTTTTGTCTTCTTTGGTTTTATTAGCATCATATTTTAATGGTCATGCAAAGTACATCTCCCTCATAGCTGATCAAAGCGAAGTTCATGCTTCTGTATCAGTAAGTAAAAAATTGGGAAACCCTGATGACCAGTGACATTATCTCCACCTGTATATATAGTCTATGCCTCCTGGTTTTCCATCCGTTAAACTTCACGGCTTTATGAAACAGAAAGACATGATTAAGTATGCTTGAGTTATTATTATAATTATCATATTATTGTCATCAAGTTTATGAATCATTAATCATTATGTTGCCGTTTGCTAGGTTATTACAAGAGTCGAGACTGTTTGTTGGAATGGGTGCTCCATATGAAGGTTAGTTTTGAAATAGCTTCTCTTGTGATATTTGTACATAATTAGGTCCTGGGCCATTGGAAGCAATAGCTAATGGGTGTGCCTTCATTCAGCCTAAGATATCTCCTCCTATCAATAAGCATAACAATGTGAGTAGTAGATATTAATGATGTACAAATTATGTTGAATATGAATTTTAGGGTTACTTTCATGGTAAACCCACTGATAGACTTTATACCAGTCAAGTACCTTATCTTGAGAACTTTGTTGGAGAACCTTACGTAGGTTTAACACTTTATATACAGTAATGTAGTAATGTAATCCCTCCCTCTCCCTCCCCCCTCTCTCTCCTCACTCTCTCTCCCTCCCTCCCTCTCCCCCCCACCCAGGTATATACAGTGAACATTGAGAATGATGATGAGGTCAGAGCTGCCGTCAAAAAGGCGCTGAATGCTAACTTTAGCTCTTATCTTCCGTACGAGTTCTCACAGCAAGTAATGAACATCATTAGCACGTCCACCCAGTAATGGTGTACTGTCTCTATAGGGAATGATGGACAGGATTGGTACTTATGTCTACCATCAAAACTTTTGTGAGAGCAAGAGTCTATCGCTCCTCCAGAAAGGTACTGCTAATATTGAATAAGTTTAAAACTGTGAGAGGAGAGTTTAATATTTTGCTGAGCTAATAAGTTTATTCACAACTGTATCACTATTATAATGCAATTTATAATGTTCTTTTTTTATTGTCCACTTGTAGCTTCATCCAGTGAGAGTCAGTCGCCAGCCAGTGATGCTGTAGATGGTATTTTGACTGATAACACTTGCTTTATGTAAGTTAATGGCCACATTACCAAGAGGCTAATAATAATACCTATGTGTACATGTGTCATGTATTGTGCTTGCCTTTGTAGGTCAAAAAAATCCACTGGCACTGCTCATTGGTGGAAGGTAGAACTTAGCAGTGAAATGATAATAGGGAGAGTCAAAATCATGATAGCAGTGAGTGTGATGTAGATACATGTACATGTGCTTACTGTTTGATAGAACAAACTATTAGTACTACCAAGAGTAAATAATACCTAAAGGTATTATTTACTCTTGGTACTACAAACATTCATAATGTCACTACTGTATGCTATTGTACATGTAAATGCTAAGTTTCATTCAATCCTTCTTTTCCTCTGCAGTTTGGTTGGGACTGGGCCCTAAGTAACAAGGTGTGTTCCAATCCTTATCGTGTGTCTCTCTTGGACTCAAAAGAGACCTTGATAATGTCTCATGTATACCACGACTGTAGAATAGTCTACGAATGGAAGAGACTAAACAGACTCGCCCAGTTTGTGAAGATAGAAACAATAGATACTAGTAAAGGTAAGAAATCATAAAAGAAAGAGAGAGAAGTGTATACATGTAATCATGTATATTGAAAAGGATTGAGAGAGAAAAAGATTGTTTATTTTGTGTTTCAGAGTCCCAGCTGGTCCTTTGTTCAGTTGAAGTGTTTCCATATGAAGTCTCGCCTTCAGTTCCTTCGTGGCCAAACTCGAAACACCTTCGTACAGTTATCAGTAAACCGGGACAGAATTGCAGAGATTCTTGCTTAGAGAATAAAATGGTTAGGGAATTTAGTGATTGTTGTATTAAGTTTGAGCCAACTCCGATGAAGATTAATTTTTAAAGTTACTTCAAAATTGGGTCAAAGGTGTACTATAGTAAGGGGTATTTTATCAAAAATGAAAAGGAGAGAATTGTTCATTTTTAGAAATTTTCAGATACATATACATGTTCTTATATGATTATAAATAGCACAATGAAACCTTCAAAATGGGTGCTATTCATTAGTCACTGGTGCATTGTTTGTGTTTAGGTATGTGAATCATCATTCTTTTCACTGATAAATACTCACGAAGCTGTCTTTAATCATCTCGGTTGCAATGTGACTCACACATTGGAAGAAAAGTACTTATTTTGCTATCTTAGATTAGTGTGTGTTACACTCTATTTTTCATTAGATATGCAGACTATGCTCCTGCAATTGCTGTATCAGCTGATAAGCCAATAGAGCCTGGACACTGCGTCATTATTGACATTAGAAGATTATTAGGATGTCCTGGTTAGTTCAGTCCCTCTTGTACTGTACTTATTTCGTTTGATCTTTTTTTCTAAAGGATATTCGAAAAATTTTAGAAGACTATGTCCATGCAGAACTATTGTTCCTGGTCAAATAGCAATAGCAGAATCTTAAATTGTTTTATAAATTTTTATTCGAAGAATTTTATCACCAAAAATTTTGTAGTAGCCACACCCGTGGAGTTCAGCCTCACCCAACTTTTTTTTAGCTTTATCTGTCAACAATCTCACAAATTTAGCGCAAGATGGCTTCTGAATTAGAGATTGTTGATGGTCATATGCACCTCTGGACGACTCAAACTCATCCCTGGGTAGAAAATGTGAAAGATGGCGGGCATCCAGCAGGAAAATTCGGTAATTTTGTGCTTTGTAGATCATACCTTCTTCTTGCATTGAACAAATTATAACAAAATCCGCCCATTATGTAGAGAAAGTGGCCACCTATACACTGAAGGAGTACCTAGCAGATGTCAGTGGATACAATGTAACACAAGCCGTTCATGTTGAAGCTTGTTGGCCCGGAGATCCAGTGGGAGAGACAAAGTAAAGCCATTAAAGCCGCTATTCGCCAAGCAATGTGCCTGTGGTTGCTTTGATGTTCAGGCAACACTGAAGACTGCCTAGAATAGAAGGCTGTTCTATTCTGGGTGGGCTACAATTGCTTACAACATCAAGTAACTACAGATTGCCTGCCTGGTGGTGTATAGTGGCCTTTAGGTGCTTACATTGTCAATTATAATACCTTGTGTAGGTGGCTTGACGGAATAGCTGACTCTAATCCTAAAGGCTTTCCTCAAGGTAAGAAAATTCAGATAATACTAATACTAGCTAAAATAATAGATACCACATTGCAGGCTTAAAATGACCGCATACATGCTTCACATTGTGCAGCTTGCAAAGTTGGCAAGAAACAGTATTCATTTAATAGCCTTTGTTATAATACATTCCCTTTTATGCAGCTATTGTTGGTCATGCTGACCTCTCAGCTGACAACCTTGAGGAGATATTGAAAAGACAGTGTGAGTCTAAACGAATGAGAGGCATCAGACACATGCTCAACTATCATCCCCAGAAGCCAGAGTTCAGCGAGCAGGCTCACGACAACTTCCTCACCGATCCCAAGTGGCTTGCAGGGGTCGGACTCCTGGAAAAGTACAGGCTTTCGTTTGAGCTTCACGTCCTTCCAGTTCAAATGAGAAGAGCTGCAGATGTTGTGAAAAAGTTTCCCGGCGTCATGTTTATGGTTGACCACTGCGGTCTACCGTACGAGCGAGATGAAGCCACAATGGCAGTTTGGAGAGAAGGTATGCCTGATTAATTGGAATAGTTTTCCAACAACATTGCCTTGTATAGGTTTGACAGCTTTGGCTCAATATCCTAATGCTTACTGCAAGATATCTGGTTTTTTTGCTACCAATCCAAAATGGACTACTCCAGAATTGGCCTCTGTGATTATACCTTGCATTGAAATATTTGGTGTCGATAGGTACAATTTTAAATTTTCTTTGCTTTTTTTATTATTGTATGATTTTTAGGTGTGTTTTTGCTAGTAATTTTCCAGTGGATCGTATCAATGGGACGTTTGATCAAATGATGAAGGAGCTACTAGAGATATTGAAGGATTACTCAAATGAAGACAGAAAGAAAATATTTGGAGAAAATGCAAAGAAATTCTATCGCTTGTAACCTTTTAGCTAATTTGAACTTGTAAAATATATAATAGATTATTATTATTATTATTGCATTTTTTTGCTGCAAAAAATATTAAATTTTAAAATTATTGATTGTACATGTGGGAGGATTCAATAGGCGTGGTCAAAGCAAAAGTTCAAAATGGCGGATGAAACAGAGCCAAGAACTAGACCAAGAAGAAGACACTTTCGTCTGGCAGAAAACTTCTTGCCTGCTGTAGAAAGACTAGACAGATCTGTAACTAATGTCGTATCACCAGTTGGCATCACTACCATTGGTCTTATTACACTTTACTACACGGCTCTCTCCTATGGACTACTTGTCATAGGTATGGTTGGCGGTCGTCCTGGCCTAGCTCGTATTGTTAGCAGCTCAAACACTCACCCAATGCTAATGGTGGTAGCTATACCCATGATACCGGTCGCTCTGGTACTACTAGAAGCTTCAGAAGTCGAAGACAAAACTCTAACAATTTGGAGAAAGAGAATTGCACCTGTAATATCGAAGACACCTATACTGGGATCGATCGTAAACTACTTTTGGCCTGAAATAAAGAGAGAGCCTTTCCGCTATCAGAACAACAAGGGAAGCATAACGATCACAATCGATAACTTGGCAAGGAGTATAGCTGGTGGACTAATGCTACCATTTCTTGGGTACCTTTTTGGGAAAGTTATATTTGGAAAGACAAAACTAAACAGTTTTCAACGGACGCTATTGGTAAATATTATCATAGTTTGATTAATATAAAAGTGTGTGTATATATATATATACACGTGTGCTATATTGAAGACACAATTTATGCTTCATTGCATATACATGTGATGTGCATACTGTCACGCTTCATATAAAGATGTCCAACGGTTTGTACTGGGTATTCATAACTGAATATCCTCTAGACATTTTCTGTTTACAATCAGAACTACCTTTGAGCGTTCGTGCGATAGTGGAGAGCTATTTCAAACGATTCTATTCTAGTAGAATCGGGGTTTTCCACAAAGCATGCTAAGTGAGCTAAACAGCACGAGTTTCATGAGCTGACGACAAGCACTACAATACAGTACATGTACATGGCTTTGGACCTGATTTTAAGTAACTTAAAAAATTCGTAAAAAATCTAAACTTGATCAGAATCAGCTCAAACTTGATACACAGCATAAGACAATGTATATGTATCAGAAATAATTATAAAAATCAAGAATTTTCTCCTAGTCATTTTTGGTGAAATTTGGCCAAAATCCCTGTACTATAGTACAGGGATTTTGGCCCAATTTTTGAGTATCTTTAAAAATTTGTATAAAATTCAATTTTGATTGGAATGAGTTCAAACTTGCTACACAGCATAAGAACATGTATACGTATCAGGAAATAGTATAAAAATGGTAAATTCTCTCCTAGTCATTTTTGGCAATGACCCTGTACTGTATAGTACAGGAACTTTGGCCCGATTTTTGAGTAACTTTAAAAATTTGTAGAAAAACCAATTTTGATTTGAATCACCTCAAACTTGCTACATAGCATCTATTGCTATTAGTCACCCAGTATTATTGTTTTGATGCTTCAAAGCAACCAGAAAACCACTTTATTAATAATTCATGAAAAGTGGTTAATGCACCCACCAGTTGTGGGTCAATAATTTTTACCAGATACATCCATGTGGTTAACCTGTTTTTCTCATTTGTGGGCTGGCAAGCACATTGAATCATGTTTGCTCTACATTGCTTGCTTCATGTAAACAAGAGTAAGATTAGATTATATCAGTAGTACAATAATTAAATATTTAATAGAGGGTCGTACTATTGCTATTACTATTGCATGCATTATTTTTTAATAAAAGGTACAATCAGTAGTCTCTTTTTCAAATCATTTCTAGGGTTCTATAACATTCTATACGCTTAAAGTCAGTCTCAAAGCTGTATTGAAACATCATCAGTATCGGAGGCAAGGTTTCAGGAGAGTTCTTAATTACGATCCTTTGTTAGATTCAAATCCACCTCCCGTTAGTCCAACACCTGTGGCTGAAGATGATGAAGAAAGAGAGACGTAAATTAAGCATAATATAAATAAACAGCAACTTAATTTAATTTTGTTGATTTTAAAAATAATTTTAATAATAAGCTCATGTTTGTTTTGTGTGTGATTTATAATAACGCCCAAACTGGGTGTCAATATGTTGTATATATTATGGTCTTGCCCACAGTACTTCCTCTCTCTCACACACACACATTGATATTGCTATGTGAAGATTACTTTAATACATACTGATTTAAAACCACAAATAATAATAACAATAATATCTTGTATAGTAATGCAAGAGTAGTGTGTGTGTGTGTTTAAATCTGAATAGTCAGTATGTTAATGAGTCATTGATCAAATGACACGTCCTTTGTGATGTTCAAGGATAACTTTCAGTGTGTAGCTCATGCTCAAGTAAAGAGTACCGCCCTATATAGCAAGAAAAACAGTATAATTATTACAGTATCAGTTTTAAATACACATTTAATCAATTTGGCATTTTGTATGTACATGTACATGTAATGATGAAAAGATACATGTTTTTAAAAGTTATTATTATTATGGTGATTGTGTCTTACCAGTAGCGTTCTCTTCACACCATTATTCATGAATCTGAACAATAAGTGTCCAAGGGCTGAAGAGATGAATGGCAAGGCAGCCATGCTCACGAAACAGCGCGATATGTAAGACAGCGGCTGTACCTCAGCTTGTTGGAAATGACGCCTCCTCGTTGGGAGAGAAGCGAGAGAGAGACCTTTCAATAGTCTTGCCAGGAGAGGAAGTAAGTACTTATACAAACACTTGAGGAAGATGACTTCTGGCCGGATTATCTTCACAGTCACAATTATCCAAGGGACGATGGGGAGACAGACCACTGCTACGGTTGACTCTGGTGACTTGAAAAACTCAAGCGCTTGCTCTCGACCCATCGCCATTGCAATGGCTATTATCCCGTATGTGAAGGATGCCCAGTAGAGAGTCGTAGCTGTGACACCAGCTAAGACTAGGGGAGAGAAATACGTAATGGTCCTCTCTACCATGTCATATATGAATATTATAGGGTTGGACGTTGGGTATTGTATCCGATAAGCAAACTGGCATTGTGGGCACACGACTGATATCGAGGAGGACATCTTCTGTTTCTCGTCTATCCAGAGCTGTAGGCAGGACTGGTGAACCCATTTTGTACCTCCACAGCAACGACAAGGGCTTGTCCACTCTTCTTCCTCACTGCCTTCATCTTCTGGTGTCCCAAAACACACCCAACACTGCTTCCTGAATAACATATTACATAATAATAATAATGCAAAAAAAGATTTATTTTATTTTGTTTATTCCTTCCCTTTACATTACTTTCCCTGTTTCTATATAAAACTCACTCGTTGGCACTCCTTGCACGAACTAAAAGAGGTGAAGAGGTACTGACAGTCAAGGAATCAGTTTCCATGTTGTTGGTTTTGCTGTTGATGCCTCGGTTGATGCTGACTGTGATGGTGGGCGGGTAACTAGGCGTGGCATTGCTGCGATCGCGCGGGAATTCAAGTGGGCGGGGCTACTTTTTCGTACATTTGCGTTTTCGCACTTCTCTAAAATTGGAGCGGAGCTTGAAGAAAGGAAAAAGTTGCTCTGATGAGTGGAACTAAAGATCTTAATGGTCTCTCTCGTAGCGTTGTGTTCCCTGACAGTCCTTCTGAAGATATGAACAGTTTATTCAAAGATTCCTGGTCAGGAGAGAGCAATCCTTCTCCCAGCCCCAGACTACCATTTAATTACAGTCTTGAAGATAGCAAGTCCGTTTTGACTGAACCAGCTTGTTGGGCTTACCGACCATTGCCTCGCTTAGGACTACAGCCATCCAGCACTACTTTTAGTGATTGCGAAAAGACAATGATCCCAACTAGTAGTCAGTCTCATCATCAACTAATGCCACCACCAAGCATTACTACACACCGTTCAGTGTCATTCAGTGATCAACATGGCAGTGAGTATGGTTCGCCTAGCCATGGTCTGAAATATCGAGAGAGAGTCTCTTCTCTTCCTACAGCTCCTCATCATAGTTCACTGCAGGAGCAAATGGCTGATCATCAATTTCAATTAGTTGATGACATATTTCCTAATGTCACCCCTGAGCCAATTGAGACCCCAATCACTCAATATCAGACAATGGTGAGAGACTGTCTGCATTTTACTAATTACTAATGGTATTTTACTTTATAATCCCGTACATGCATCAGCAGATAGGAGCTGAAGCAGCAACCATATCAAAGAAAGACAAGGCAAGCTCAAGGGGCTGGCTCGAGGTTTCTATAGACTGTACAATGCCCACTTCTCCGGTCTTACGAAAGGATACTTTTAACTTTGGAAGCCTCCAAGATACCCTCCCTTCCTCGCCTACCAGCAAATCAAGTAAGTGAATGAGATTGTGTCATAATGCAATATTTATTGACAAAATCCTCATAATTGTAGTGCTTCAAAAACGTGTCAATATATCACCTCCAGCTTCAGGAACAGCAGCATCAATTGCGATTGCTTCCCCCGTGGATTCTAACTGTCTGGTAAAGAAATTGCTACCATTGCCTACCGATGAGACGTACTCTCGAAAAGTATTCATTGGTGGACTCCCTCCAGATATTGATCAAGGTAAGCCAAGAGAGGCGCTAAAGAAAAGTAGTTAATTTACACGTAGAAGAGATCAGGATGTCTTTTCAGAAGTATGGCTCTGTTACAATAGACTGGCCACACAAGATTCATTCAAAGTCTAGAGTTCCTCCAAAAGGTGAGTTGTTCATGTTGATAGTCCCTTTCAAGACTTATTAAAGCCTTACATGCCAATGAGGCTGATAATGAATTATTGCCCATTTTGGGTTACATCAATAGTTTATACATGTCATTATATAGGTTATGCTTTCCTGTTGTTCAAGGATGAAGGTTCTGTACACAAGCTATTGGCTTGTTGTGTGACTGAGAATGACAAGCTTTTTGCATATATTAAGTACTATGTCACTGGGACCAGCATTACAAGGAAAAAGGTATCACAAAGCATTTAATAATGCTAAAATAATGGTTTGATTGTTCAAATAGTGTCAGATTAGACCATGGAAAATCACTGATAGCTACTACTTTGCCAATGAAGACAAGAAAGTTGACAACCGTAAGGCAGTATTTGTTGGAGGAGTTCCAAGGCCACTGAAAGCCAGAGAGCTGGCAGAAGTCATGACAGAAAAGTTTGGACCTGTTTCATTTGTTGCAATAGACTGTGATACTGAACTAAAGTATCCCAAAGGTTAGATCAATTAAATTGGTGCTATGTATTACATAATTGCTGACCAATGCTGTTGACCTCAGCTTTGTGGGTCAGCTGACCTTTGAATTCTGCCTCATTATAGCCTTAGCTTTTTAGTGAGATCTTTTTGTACTCTTGTGCAGGTGCAGCTTGTGTTGTTTTTGCAACTCATGCAAGTTACATTGCATCAGTTTCATCAAGGTTTATGCAACTGGTCTTTGGTGCATTAGAAAAGAAAGTGAGTGGTAATTAATTTTTTTTAAATTTAATTTAATTTGAAATGATTTAATTCTTTAACTAAGAGTTATTATTACAGTAACTGGCACTGCATTACAATGTATTAATTTTATTTCTTATGCTGTAGGTTGAAGTCAAGCCATACATTTTAGAAGACCAGTTATGTGATGAATGCAATGGAATACAGAGTGATGGACAACCTGCCCCTTTCTTTTGTGGTAGCGTTACATGCCTCAAGTATTACTGTGAACACTGTTGGGCTACTTTTCATTCACTCTCTGGTCGGCAAAACCATCGACCAATGTTTAAGGATATTTTTGACCGTGACAAGTTTTCCTAAGTTATTTCCCTACCTGCATTACCCCTATATACCCCTATATATCAAGAGAGTCTACTGACGTTTAAAGGCACAGTCATCACATTTGTTTCTATGCAACTTACTTTGTTTTTATTGACGAGCCCAGTTTTGTATTTGTTTCTACTTAAACTCGTCACATCGAGTGTTGTTTTGTGTATTTGCTCCTCACCAGTCTCCCTCCCTCTATCTCTCTCATGCAGTTTATACTATAATACTATAGGCAACCATATCATTATTACACTGAGGAATCATTTCTCATTCATTCTTATTAATATTATTCATAGTAGATTATTGTATTATTATTATTATTATTATTATTATTATTAATTAATATTAATAACTATTATTGAATCGCTTCTTGAATTCATCATAAAAAGCGGCTCCTTCAATTTATTCCAGCTGCTGGAAAAAAGAGAAGAGAAAGTAGAGGGACTTTGCCATTGAAGGTGGACATTGTTCTTCCATTCACTGCTACACTCATCTCCCCCATCTCTGAGCATAGCTATAGCTCACAGCGTGCCTGGTAGCATAGTAACCGAAGGGTGTGTAGCTAGATACGTAGCTATGGAAGCGAGTCTTGGCTTTCAAACTCGACCACTTGCAGCTGTCGTTGGAAAAGAAAAGTGCAGCGTCTCTACTGCTTCTGGTCTTTGGTCTAGTTCTGTTAACAACAGCAGTAGCAGCAGTGACATGGCCTTTTCCAATTCGCTTAGCTATGCACTGGAGAACTCCTTAAAACTTTGGCAGGTATGTATGTTAAGAAAAGAGAGACATTTTAAAAGGAAAGCATTATTACTGTATTTTTTGTATCTAGCCAACCTATAACGGGCCTCCTTCATCATCCCTGAAGGCTGACTGGACCTATACTAGACAGAGCAACAACACTGAAAGCAGCTGCTTTGGGGCTGCACTGGACTACAGTTGGTCTCTGGAATACTCGAAAGAAACAAGTATGGAGGCCCTTGGCATGATCATTATAACGCTATTATTTTACAATTAGGCAGCCCCTCCACTCTTAGCATCAGCAGTGCTTCACGTACTCCCAGCCCATCCATAGCTGCTGCAACTTCTTCTCATCCACCTCCAAGCTTTGGGACGCCATCCTCCTCATCGTCTACCGACGTATACTCTCGTAAAGTTTTTGTGGGAGGTCTTCCCCCTGACATTGATGAAGGTAAAGCCTCTTTAGCCACTTCTCGTGCTAATAACGATCACCTGTTGCATGATATTGCATGCAAAGTGTTGCACCACATTGTCTATACTGTATTTGGAAAGCATTGGGTATTTCGCATTGTTTTACGTATTATCGCAATAATGATCACAAAGTCTTTTGCATTTTGTATTGACATGCATCTATTTTTGCTCTAGATGAGATTCGTGATCACTTTATACAGTTTGGTGCCCTAACTGTTGACTGGCCTCACAAAGCTCAATCAAAAGCTTACTTTCCACCTAAAGGTATCTTCCCTCCATCCGTCCCTCTCTCTCTTTTACTAGTACACACGTATAGTTTATTTACTCTTACATAAATCAGGTGCTTTGTCAGACTCTTGCGGTCACATTATTGCATATGGGTGGTTTTAAATTGGCTAGCCTGCAATTATAAGTTTTTATTATTCATCAAAACATTCTTGGGTGTGTTGTCTTAGGTTATGCCTTTATCATATTTCAAGAGGAGTCCTCGGTCCACCAGCTCATCAAGATCTGTCATCTGGACGATGGAAAGCTCTACATGTTTGTCTCATCAGTGACACAGACCAACAAGAAGGCATGTGGAATCAAATAGTGTGATATTTGTAAATATAGGATGGCTTTTACAATTGGGTATAGTAAAGGATCATGCCTACAATTGCCATTACAATTTGGTATAGTAAAGCATTGGCCATATATCATTGTCATTTATAATGATTATACTTTCAAATTTTCTTTAATGTAAAGCTGTCTATGATTCTTTTGTCTTATTTGTTTTGGTTGCTTTGTGGCTATACAGTACATGCAATGTGAAGATCGATACACATTATACATTATACATGTAGTTTTTAATTGTGTCCTTTGTGTGTGTAGGTTCAGATTCGCCCATGGAAGCTCTCTGATAGTAACTACATCATGGACCACACTCAACCCATTGATCCACGCAAGACGATATTCATTGGAGGAGTACCACGCCCACTAAAAGCGGCTGAACTGGCTGACATCTTTAACTCTCGCTACGGGAACGTGTGCTATGCTGGCATAGACTGTGATCCTGACTTGAAGTATCCCAAAGGTACAATGTATTCCTTTAAAAGAACTGACTAAAAGGGACTAGTGTATATTCAGTCATCATCATCATGTCTCAACACTGTACAGTATAATATAGTGCTAGTTCCCAGGGCCTCCCTTTGTGGCATGTGGTAAAGCCCTGACAGGGTTGCCTTGTCTTGTGATTTCTTATTGCTTCTCTTGTGAAGGAGGAGGCATTGAGGCTAGCTGTCTTTGTCTCCTTCTGTAATCTAGTTGTAGATTAGCAGTATGTGACCTTTACAAGATAACAACACATAACTATTCATTAATGAGTATCATCATTATTATTATTATTATTACTATTATTTCATAGTTTCTCTTTGTTGTTCCATTAGGAGCAGGAAGGGTGACCTTTTCCTCAAGAGTGAGCTTCATGAGCGCTGTCTCTTGCAGATTCTTCCAAGTCACTTACGGTGACATTGATAAGAAGGTATTATTATTATTCCCTGTCCTCAGTAGCTTTTTGTGGTATTGTATCTGTGCCAGTTATGACAGGAGTTGTGATAATGGCCGCAGCAACTGTGTTAAGTGATCAACCAACAGATTGATAGGCATGCTTCAGACAGCAGGGCATGCAGTACTCATCACCTTATGCTGTGTTGATTCACTTTATGCTGTGTTGACTCACCTTTGCATGTTGGGGGATGGGAAAGCAGCATACACAATGTAAACACTACAGTGAATAACATAATGGTGTGATGATGATTTGAGTCAAACAAAGTCCCTGTACTATAATATAATAGTACAGAGATTTTGGCTAAATTTTGCCAGAAATGACTAAGAGAAAATTCTTCATGTATATTATATATATA